GTAGTCAAAAGTCAATATTTGCTAATCATGTTAGTAGAGGAATTGATCCAGGGCTACAAATCTTGAATTGCTAAGGCATTTAAGATTAATTAAACTTGTCTTCTCCTCACTTGACATATACACACATAGCACAGCACCCCCAACTCCCACCCCTACCTCTCTTCTGGAATGGACAAATCCCTGTCTCTGTAAGGAAAACCTGTCTAGTCTGCAGTGTAGTATGAAAACCTCTTAATTTTCTCAGCTTTCTACCTCCACTGTTGGGATGGTCACTCAGAGCCTGACTTCAGGTAGCAGGGTAGGTCATGTTCAGCATGTTGGGGTTGTGCCCTTTCTCTTTGACATAGACTAGTATGACATGTATGAGTAGTATGACATCAAACCAGGCTGTTGTATTCTACCTGTGATCTTTGCACAGGACTGCTGTTGAAATCAGGGGAGAGCTGCATGCTGAGCAAAAGCAGAACCAATCTGGCAGTGTGACACAGGTTGAAAAAGCCTGATTGCTCATCTTGTTTCAACTGGGATTGTTCATCCAGCAGTCACACACGTTAAAGGTACTGAAGTGCTGAACAGGTCTTATTCCACACAGTGGCAGAAGAGCAGAGAGTTTACACTGTACTATTTATCCTAATTTTCATTTTATCATAATGTGAACAGTTAAAAACTGATCTATGTGTTTCTCTCTTTCAAAGCTGTTGTAGAATTTGGTGTGTATAACATGACAAGATTTAGTACATTTCCTAGGGCTAGGTGCAGTGTAAGCAGGAAATGTGCAAGCTTCCACATGCAGACTTGCCAGTGTTCTGCCAGGCTGGATTTGCAACCCTTCTGCCACAACAGCCTCAGTCTCCTCTGAGTGTACCATCAGCTGCTCAGAGGCCATGTCAATGTCTGGACGTGTGCATTTGATCAGCAATGTGGTGGCTTCCTGATAGGATCATATATTTATTCAGAACCTGGCTCAGAAGGAGGTACAGATCTGCATTGAGGCAGGAATCTCTTAGTGGATGAAATGTGGCTTATCTGCTACCCAGCATATATTGCTGCAGTTTGTGTACTGTGGTTTTCTCTTGCTTGACTTTAAGCTATTATTATACTGGTCTAAACAGAGTGGATTAAGTGTTTATATGAGAATAATAGAGCAGAGTGGAGATTTGCAATCAGATACATTAGGAGAGATTCTGATCTACATAAAACTTGGGCAAACCAGAAGGATAGGTCTATCTATACCAGATTAGCCCAGATTTACACTCATAAATGGGATAGTAGTGTTGGAAGCCATATGTCTGATTCAACAGAGTCACTTGTAAAACTGGTGTTTTGCAAAGACTTATAAAGTGGGACGTGTTCACTGTTATCAGGAGATTGAACTGATATTGTGTATTAAATCGTACAGTGACTGCATGGGGTTTGATAAAGACATGTAGGACATCAACACACACATTAAGAAAAGTAAATGTTTTGAGCACTGTGGTATCCAGCCTGCATACACTTCAGATCAGCACATTATTCAGTATAGTACTCAGATATTTTGCAAAATCTAAACAATGCATTTTGTTTAATATTCTAACTAGTGTTAAACTATTAATCTAAATGTGCTAATAGTGGCTGTCATGTAAGTCGAGCATCTGAAAGCCTCTCAGCAGTAATGCCCTACCCTCAGGTAATTTATTTGTCGTATTAATTCAGTAAAAAAAATAGAAGATAATTTACTCTTTAAAGTGGTTCCCCTTTCCCTCTTTTTGAAATTAAACATTATTTTATGATTGTCTTTTAACTTACAAATTTATTAACTTAGACCTGCCACACACAGGCTGAGCTACTAATTTCTTTATTTATTTATTTGTCTTTAGATCAATCATGGTGTTATTGTTAGCGTGCTTTCAACATATTCAAAATCTCAGCTTTTTCTATGTGCGTGTATCTATTTGTCTCATAGATTGTAAGTGAATATCACACCTTTACTGGTCTATGCAAACTCAATTTGGTAATCTTAGCTCATCTTCTAGTGGACACATATCTGTGTGACACAAGTGTCATCTTTGAAACTGGCAGTAATTGGCATTCATGTTGGAATTCTCAATGGAATGGCCACAGACACAAGGTGAAAATTTGGCTCTGTTGAAGGCAACAGAGTTTTGTCATTGACTTTAATAGGGTCAGGACTTCTTCCAAAGACTGAACTGCCTCTCATACAGATGTTCAGGCTGAAACGGGAGATTCAAATCCTCTGTGTTTGCTCATGACTAATAAAATGTCATTTTCTGCTAACCTTTGTCCTCTCTCTGCCAGGATCTAGTCTTTTTTTTTAAAGGAGAGAGTGAATAAGACAAGACCTCTGGCTTCCTCTTGCTTTGCCTTCCTCAAATGCCAGTTCCCTTCCTTCTCGTTATACTTGATATAATATCTCTCCAGGCCCAGTGCAAGTTCTCTGTCTTCTGTTGTCTCTTGATTCTTCAACTCTTTGTGTATTTTTAACCGCTCTGTTTTCTTAGTGACTCTACCTTCAAAGATGCTCTTGCTCTTGAAAAAAATGGAATTCCTTTAATTTAGTCTATCTTTCTAACAACCCACTGATTTCCTCATGTCTGCCTCAACTTTCTCAGATGTTTCTTGTCATTAATAAGAAGCTTCTTAGTCTCTGGTAAGAGAATCTACACTTCTCCAGGTTCTGTACTTCGCTTCATCTGAAGGCAATCTTTGTCCTTTTCTTTACTGATCCTTCCCTCCCTGGCTTGAAATGCCTCCCTGGCATTTCAATTTACTTTGGATATGCACCTTTATTGAAGCTCCTTTATTTGTTTTTTTTTCTCTCTTTGCCACTTTCTCTCTCCATTGCCTCACAGAGGCATCCATGTCAGAATCCTTGATGCACTTCCCTTTCTATGACAGTTATTCTCCTCTGTGCATCTGCACTTTCACAGTCATTTGCTTCTGTACATCCTGCTGTCACTTACATAATGGCTTAACTTCCTAAGGTTATTTACCACTTCTTCCTGATTTTCAGATTCTCATCTCCTCTATCAGTCCTGTTACACTTGCTGTTTCCTGAGTTGTCTCTTAGACCATCTTTTCTCTTATCTTGCTGCCCCTTCTGCCATTGATTGTCTTCTCTATCGAGGTGGCAATCATGATTTTTTTCATCAACACAAGCTAAAAATGTTATGATCATCTCTGTTCTTGATGGATGATGTCAGCAAGAACTCCCTACTTCCTCTCCTTCCATCCAAAATACTGCTTTCCAGTACTGCCTTGTCTCCACCAACCAGCACCTTCCTTGGTCTTCTACTGCCTGCTATAAGAAATGCAAGCCATTAAAAAACTCAGTGAAATCTACTGCTTGAGGTTCCACTGTCATTTATCTTCCACTCAAGCTATGACTGCTTCTCTCATTCTCCCCTTTTACAGAGTTCCTCTGTCCCCCTTCTCCCTTCTGTGCTTTCTGCTGTGTTGCTCCATAGAGAAGGAAGCATTTTTTGTTGTCATCCCTGAGCAATTTTTTCTTTTGCTTCCTGAAATTTTTCATTAAAACTCATTTTTCAAGTTTGAACTGTGCCTTTCAGTCAAGCAGAGCCTTTAATGCACTGGAAGACAACAACTGTGATACTGGCCAGGGCCTGTTACTGTAATCTCTTCTCATGCCCAGGCACAGCCCCAGTGAAGTCATTGTTCCTCACATTGCCTGGAGATGGTAGAGAGCACAGATTGGTACTCATGTTTGAAATGCACGAACAGCCCTCAGTGTGTTACAGTACATCACTGTTAAGAATGTAGAATAGTCACTATACTGACATGTGAAATAATTGCATTCCTCCTGTAGTAAAAAAAAAAAAAAAAAAAAGCAAATGCTGAATACCTTGAAGCCTAGAGCAAAGCTGAAAGCTGAAAGTTCTACAACTGCTCTTATCTGGCATTGAAACACACTGGCTACTCTTTTGAAAGTTTTCCATTAAAAGTTAGGACAGGTCTTCTTGGTACACTCAATTACTTGCTGTGACTTAGAAAGCACTGCTATACAGAATTTTTACTGGGTGAGTTTTTACAACTAAGGCTATGTAGGAGTTAGAATGAGGTTATCTCAGCTTTACAGAGTAGGATGACTTTTTGGATAGGTTTTTATTTTATTCTACGAAGTTTCTCCCACCAACCTGAAAGAAGTGCTGGAGGAGTGCAACAACTGAACTCCCTATGACAGAAATAACAAAATACTGCAGTGTGTGGACCATTAAGTGAGATATCAGAAATATTCCCTCTGATATAGGAAGAGAATGATGCCACACAGTATGATACCAAATATTTAATTCTTTAGGGTCATGAACTAGAGGTTCTGTAGGCCTTGGCTCAAGAGTCCAGATGTACTGTGGACAAGTGAGTCATTTTCCAGTTCATACAGGGCTACCCTTGATATTATGAACTTCAGACCAATGTATTCTGTGTTCTGCAAATGGCTCTCTTTTTGTGTCAGGACCATGATACAGTTTGGACAAAGTCTACAGCTGAAGGTTTTAAGTGGTGAGTTCCAGAAAAATGAATGGAAGAATCTAAGAAGAATTCAATCTCCAGATCCACATGTCACAACCTTTATGATAATTAAAACTCCTCCAGTACAGGAAATCAAATTAAATTAAATGCTTTGAGCCACTGCATGACTTCTCTATTCTGCCTTCCTGGTCGTGCAATCCATATATTATGCTGAACCATTTTTCTTTACAGTGTGATAGGAAAGGTTTTCCTCTGGGAACACTTCAGCTCTGAGCCAGCTTTGACCTCTGACTCAGAGTTCAATGCTTCTCCACAGTCTGGAAAATCTGAAGGTGACCACCATCCCTTCACTGAGACCCTGTGGCACAAAATCCTGTCTTCTCCTCTCCCACACCTGTCTGTGTACTGATAGCAGGACCAGCTGGCTGTCCCTTGGCAGTCAGGACTAGGCCTGCCCTCTCCATCACAAAACTGATTTGAATACATTTACAGGATTTACATGATTCAGTTCAAGTGCCCAGGATTAGCTCAGTTGGTCAGAGCACAGTTTTAATAATGCCAAGGTTGTGGGTTTGATTCCTTTATGGGCCATTTATTTAAGAGCTGTACTTGATGATTCTTGTGGGTCCCTTTAAACTCAGAATATTCAGTGATTCTGTGAAGGTAATTACTGCAAATTCCTGGCCTCTGAGCCAGTCAGGGCTAATCAAGCCTCGTGACCCCTTCAGCACAGCACTGGATGGCCATGCAGTACTGTGTTTGCCTAGGAATACTGAAAATCTGTGTGGGTTACCAAGTGCTGTATGAGTTATCCAGCTGCAAGTAACTTTTCCCAGGCATTTAGAATACATCTTAGAAAAAGGAACTTAAAAAGGCATCTCTGTTACTGAGTGGACCATTGCAAACACCTATCTTGGCCAACAAAAGGTGAAACACACCTGTGGGGCTGGAGTAAGAAACCACGAGTTTACTACTGAGCTCAAAAGAAAGTTTGCATGTTTCTGTTGTAAAAGGACCTTTTATGTATCAGAGGTTGACTTTCTGTGCACAAATCTTCTGGTTGTGTAGAGTGTCCCCAGCTCCACAGAGGAGCTGTGACAATTTACACTAGCTGAGGAGCTGCTCAGCATTTTTGGTTATGGACCTTATTTACTCATGGCTAGTTAGAGCTCCTGTGGAGCTGTTAACAGCATTGTGCAGGTGTAAATCTTGCTTTAGATGACTTTGGAACAGTTAGGAGACAGCCTGCCTGTCTATAAAGTAGAAGCATCCTTGAGCATATTCCTGGCATAACCTTACAATAGAATGGTGACCCAGCAATATGAAATACAGCTATTTTTACCTAAGTGAAGACCTACAAATAATGTCCACTAAAAAGTTGCCACACAGGATAATTAGGTTTGTGTTTTGGCATAGCCTAATGAATTTGTGTCTGTGTTTTTAAGCAGTTACATCCCAGAACACACCGAGCTCCTCATCCTCCTCAGGCTGTTGTGCTAACTTACCTACATTTTCTTCTAGCAATTGTTCACTCAGGGAATGGCATCAGTCATTTTCTTGAATTAAGTTTGCTAAACAGTCAAAGAGCAGCCTAAGGTAGGCAAGGCCTAAGGTACTGACATGGAGCAGCAGTTCTGTATTCCTCTTTGCAGTAAAATGATGTCAGTGTAGATGAGAATTTAGTTGTATGGCTAGCTACTTTCTGTGTATTCACACAGGCAATTCACATGTCCCTGTGCTGGGATGCAGCTATGCTGCAAAGGTTGGGTGGCATTTTCACAGCAAGGCCCTGAAACACAGACATTTCAGAACATGTTCCTCTCCCTGTGACACTGTGAGTGGTGCCAGCAGAAAACCAAGGTAACAGTGAACAAGGAAAAACCCTTTCTGGCCTTTGTAAAGCTCCCTGAGATCAGCGTGCACAAAGCCAGCAGTGAGTAGGAGGAAGGAAAAGCTCAGTCTTCTGAATCCTTATCAGTTGTCCACTTCTTGGGGGAAGCTGATTCTGCAGAGCACAACATGACATCTCAATGTGTTTTCCAGATGCAGTGTGTGAATTCCAAGGGATACAAAACTGGTGTGTGAAAGATGTATTTCTAGGTAACACTAAGGAGGAAAATAGGTCACCCGAAAAAGATATTTCTGTAGAATTTTTTAGTTTTAATAATACCAAATTACAGCAAAACTTCCCAAGACTGTTCTTGCAAGTAATTTCTACCATAAAATATAAAATTACAGTAAGTCTCCTTTAGTACTGTGGCTACTATTGTGATCAGTTTTGAGGAATGTGCTCCATCGGTGGAAATATTTTGATTTAAGTTCCTCTTGAGGAGCAGTCTAAAACATATACTTTAAATCACACTTTAAAAATGGTATGGATTTATGCATGGTATGGACTTATACATGACTACAGTGTATATGGTACACTGGCTCAGTGTAATTAAATTCTCCTCCAATGTTGCCATTAAGCTCCAGTAAATATTAAAGCTATGTTAATTTTAAAATAGGTTTATTTCTTCATTTTAGCTGGTAGATATTCTTGTATAGAATAATTAATTAAAATATGCATACATATATAAAACAGGGCAGGACTGGTGCTTTCAGCTGTTACTACCAAGCATCTTGGCTTCCATCAGCAGTATGGCAGCTGGCTGACAGCAACATGGAGGAAACAGTCACACAGAGGACTTCTCAGGGTGAGAATGAAAGAAATTAAAGTCCCAGGCTTCTCCCATCTTCTCTAATTTCTAGCACCAAATTAATTATTAATTAATTGAAAGACTTCCTGTGAATAACAAAACTCAGATCTGAAGGGTAGAAGTAACCATTTCTCATTTGTGGTCAGGCCATCATGGGCACAGAACTACCATGAAATGAAAAGGATGGAGAAATTCCACTGAGTAGACTGGATGAGAAAAAAGTCAGCTTTTTAGAGTCTAAAAAATAGTGGTATTTTTCAGAAGTTTGATGAAACTGAGTGAGAGGATGGAGGAAAAAGTCTCAAAAAATCCTTGAATCTGCTGAAGAACTCATGTAGGCAATCATTCTTACTAGGGAATCCATGGTGGATTCTCATGATATGGGATCCAACCAGAAAAGGTTCAGTTTGAACTTATATCTTTAAGAAACTCCATTAATTAGTCTGTAGGAAACCAGGCTTAATTGCTTTCAGTGCTCACAAAACTACTTGTGTTTTTCTGGAACACAGGCAAATTGCTGAAATGGCAAATATGTGTCTTCCAAGAATCTCTCTTTCCCTTTCGTGAATGTCTGAATATTTTCATTTCCAAAATGTATACCTGTTTGACAGTTTTATACCTAACAGATGTTTTATGTAGATTTGTTGTTGTCTCAGACTTTTCCAGAAAATGAAAAAAGGGTCTGTCTTTACCTGGACTACACCAATCACCATTATCTTAAACCATTGTCAAATTTATTTCCATTCACCTCCATAAGTCTTTCCTCCAAATTTTCTTCATATCTCTCTGGTTATCTATTACAGGACTGCCATTTGGTCAGATCCTTTTTAATGTGTTATATTATCAAGATTTTACACTCTTGTGGAGTGTATTCAAAGTTTGTTTTGATTTCTACAAATTTTTCACCCCTGATGTGGAACCTTTAAAAAATTTCAGGTCTGCAGATTTCTGTATAACATATATGAGCTTGTTGTTCTGACTCCACTCACATCCTTTAGAAGCAGTCCAACTGTTCCTCCCCTCCACATCCAGAGATTATAGACTGCACAATTTAAGCACATCAACCTTGGGATCCTGAAATGTCAGGAGTAATTAACTTACAAAGTAAAAAATATCTGAGGTACAGATCTAACTAAAAATAAATGTAAATTTGAAATAGTAGATTGCTCCAGTCTCCCACAAAGGAGCAGGAGTCTGGTTGTTGGGAAGCCTTAACAGGACAAGATTCCTACTTAGAACTAGACACCACATCACATCAGATATTGTGGCATTACAGTTATGAAAGGGAAAGGGAAGAAAAGAGCCCTGAGGAATTTCAAAAAAGTCCATATGAGATATGGATAGCAGGCTTCTATGAAGAGCCTCTGTTGGCCTAGAGAGAAAATTGTACACAGAATAGGTCTGTGAGACTTCAATCCCAGCCCATAAACAAACATAGTTTTCTTCTCCTTTCTTTACTATTGGTTGGCAATCTGGCATTCCACAAAAGGAGAAAATCTTTTGACACTGTATGTTGGATATTGAAATCTTTGTTAGCTTGACTGTCACTTCTGATATGTGGTGTACACTGAAGTCACAAGTACAAGTGAGCATGCTGCAATTTCAGCAAGATGGACAACAGAGTAAAATCTGGGGTTATTTATTCATTGCTAACACTTATTCAAGTTCAATAAAGAAATAGCTATTGCACTTAATATTGTCTTCTTTTACAGCATTTAGTGTTTACAAAAACATCTATCCCTACTGTCCCTATCCAGGTACAGTATATCCTAAAAGAAGCAACCAAAAAGTCAAGAATTCAAATTTGTGAATTTCTAAGCATATTTCAGGATTTTGCTGTAGAACATGACAGAGAACTTTTTCTAAAAATGATCCTTTGCAAGTCATTATTGGTGAAGGAACCAGTTGTGCTGGTTTTGGCTGGGGCAGTTAACTTTCTTCACAGTGGCTGGTGTGAGGCTGTGTTTTGGATTTGTGCTGAACACATGGCTGGTAATACAGAGATGTTTTTGTTTATGCTGAGCAGGGCTTGCACAGAGCCAAGACCTTTTCTGCTTCTTGTACTGCCATGCTGGTGCATGAGAGGTTGTGAGGAGACACAGCCAGGACAGGTGACCCAAATTGACCAAATGGATATTCCAGACTGATATCATGCTCAGTATATAAAGTGGGGGGAGGAAGGAGGAAGCAGTGGAGCATTTGCAGTGCTCCATAACATAAGATTTGTCTTTACAAGTCACTGTGAGCTATAATGGGGGCCTGCTTTCCTGCAGATGGCTGAACACCTGCCTGCCCATGGGAAGTAGTGAATTAATTCCTTGATTTGCTTTGCTTTCCCTATTAAACTGTCTTTATCTCAACCCATGAGTTTTCCAGCTTTTCCCTTTCCAATTCTCTCCCCAACCCTGCTGGTGGGGCAGTGAGTGAGTGGCTGTCTGGGGCCTGGCTGCTGGCTGGGGTGACACCACAACAGATGTATTAACACTTCATTTACTGTTCCTGAACTCTTACTCAAGCCTGGGAGAACACACTTTTCTATCCCTCATTATCCCTCCATTTCCTTTGTTGTCACATTTCAGCTTTCTGAAGGCCTCTGACACCCAAAGGTGCAGCTAAGTATCTAGTGGGATATTCAAAACCAACTGTTCATTGAGCTCTTTATCATACCACTCTGAACCACCCCATGAGTAACTTCCTAAGGTGCTTAAATATCCTTTGACACTTGCCACTAGAGCCACGATTCTGCAAAATGTGCCTGATGTACACTCAGCTTTAGACATATAAGAAATGCCCCCTGCTCAGCCAAAAAAAGGAGTAATACCCCAAACTTAATATGCCATGATCAGTTAGAATATAATATTTTATTTGTATCTCTTCTGTTCATGGAGTGT